AAGTAAGCGCAAATCTTGTGGAGTTTTTGCTGTCAATTTATCATCAGGTTGAATTCTGCGCGGTTTCTGCTGACAATCTAACATTAAATTGCACGCGCAGATCTTGTTCGATTTCTGTTGTCAATCTACTGTCGGTTTATGTTGATAGATTCTGCTAGCAGAACCCAAGCTTAATGCGGACGTAGTTGATCTGCCGTAATATTCTGTTTGAATCTGCTCGCATGCTGGCAGACTACTAACATTTTGCTTATTGGAATAATATATAATAAATGAAATAAATAAAACAATTAAAAGTATATGTATATATATATATATATATATACATATCATATATTCATATATATATATACATATACATATATATATATATATATATATATATATATGTATATGTATATAAATATGAAATATATCGATCTATATTTTTATTTTCTTGTAAATCTCTATTTCTATATAGAAAAATTGAAGAATAATTTAGAAAAAGATTAAAATTTTTACATAAAAAATAAATAAAATTAAAAGAATTGAGAAAAAATTATATACGTACAGTGTAGATCATTTTAATCAATACACGCGAATATCTTAGAAACATGCATTAAATTGAAAAATGTTTCAGACATAATAAGTTGTATGGCTTGAAGGGGGACATAAGATGGTGCCATTAGTTTGACCTTGAAGAGTCACCTGAAAGTCAAGGTCACATCCTACTTTTTAAATGGGACCCTATATACTTTTGCATATTCTTGTAACTTGCTCAAAAGCTTTCCAAAACACTATAATAAAGTATTTTTTCATTGAGTATTCTTTGTGTTATAAGGCTTAAAATAATATCTTAATTTTACATAAACCATGAAATATCTAGTAAAATATTCATTTTTCGATTATCTTACCTTTATATTTTAACGTACAAAATAATGAGAAGAATCAATTGGTGTAGAGAAAACACATAATTGTTTCGAAGAAAAAATATATAATTTGCAACTAACAATTACATATTTTTCCTCAAAAACAATTATATGTTTTCTTTACACCAATCGATTTCTCTCATTATCTTGTATATAAAAGTATTAAGGTAAGATAATCGAAAAATGAATATTTTACTAGATATTTTATGGTTTATGTAAAATTAAGAAATTATTTTAAGCCTCATAACTCGAAAAGTACTCAATGAAAAAGTACTTTATTATAGTGTTTTGGAAAATTTTTGAGGCAAGCTACAAGAATGTGCAAAAGTATGTAGGGTGTCCTATTTAAAAAATTGGATATGACTTTCATGTGACCTTCAAGGTGGCTCTTCAAAGTCAAACTAATGACACCATCTTATATCTCCCTTCAAATCATACAACTTATTTCCGAAACATTTTTCGACTTAACGCAGTGTTTCTGAGATAATCGCGTGTATTTATTAAAATGGTCTACTCTGTATATATAAAAAAAGTTGACGAAGTATATGTGGGAACTTCCTTTTTATTTCTTCAAATCTCATCTTTTCTAAAAGAAACAATGGAAAAGTTATTCTTTTAATTATTCAGCAATTATTCTTTTATTACATTTTTCTGTATATATAGGGACAGGAATTATACAAAAGTAAGAAAACATGTATATAGGAATATCTTATATATAATTTCATATAATTACAGGTTGAGTTTTATTTTGTGTGCCAATTTTTTCATCATGCGAGAAATTATCAACTGCATAATAAATTGATCGGTACATAAATGTCAATTATTTGGATCGACCGTTTCAAAGGCTCAAATATAATGTGTAAAATTAAAGCAAATTAAAAACTGAACTTATGTAGTATGGATTTATTGTTATTATTATTATTAAAGCTACGTATTTATTATTAATATTATTATTATTATTGTTATTATTATTATTATTATTATTATTATTATTATTATTATTGTGCACATTATATTCGAACCTTCGATACGATCAAAAAAATTGACATTTATGTACCGATCAATTTATTATGCAGTCGATAATCTCCCGCATGATAAAAAGATTGACACACGAAATAAAACTCACCCTGTATATACATATATGTAAACTTTCCTGGGTAAGAATATGGTTGTTCTTTATTTGAAAAGATAATCCTTATATCTCATAAAACATATTAATCATTCTCAGGAATTTACAATATCTATGCGGTTTACTTATAAATATAATATTATAATTGACAGTTCATATTCTATGTGCAATTTATACTTACATAAGTCATTTTATTATAACATGGTCGCAAGTTTCTTATTTGATGTTATAATGAAAAATGATCGAAATGTCTATCCTTAAAAATATTTTGCTCATCTTTAAATATGTAGTTCTTATTTATGATTTAAATGTATGTTATTTTCATATAAATTGTTTTAAATTTTGACAGATATCTATGAAATACCTCCTCGAATAGGAAAAATGAACAATATAGAAAAATTTGATGCAGAATTTTTTAATATATCGGCCGTAGAAGCTCATGTGCTTGATCCTGGAGCTAGAATGTTGCTCGAAAACACTTATGCAGCAATTATTGACGCAAGTATCAATCCCGCAGAACTGCAAGGAACAAGGACGGCAGTTATCACAGCAATGACAATTTCTGATTCATTTCTCGATATAATATATGAAAAGACTCATGTATGTTAATAATTTTACTATTCCATACTCATATATGTCAATAATTTAACTATTCAAATCTCAAAATCGATGAGAAAAATATGCAGTCTTAAAATTGTATGAACGTATTAATACACACACACACACACACACACACACACACACACACACACACACACACACACACACACACACACACACACACGCACGCACACGCACACGCACACGCACACACACACACACGGATATTATATATTGTATATAAAATTGTAAAAAATATTTTTAATATAAAAAACCTATATCGTAATTAGGTTGCTGGATTACCTATACTTGGTTGTAGTAAAAATATGTTGGCAAATAGAATTTCTTACTGGCTCAATATTACTGGACCATCGTATAACATCGATACTGCATGTAGCTCGAGCCATTTCGCTATGGTGGAAGCTTACAATTTGATTCGATCTGGAATTTGCGACGCGGCTATTGTTGCTAGTGTCAATTTGTGTCTTAATCCTTCTGTAACTTATCTATCTTATTGTCTAGGTATGTGAAAAATAATATTATTATGTTCAAATATTGTATTCGAGATTATGTTAAATAGTATAACATATTTATTGATGCATAATTAACATTTGATGTAATAGTTTCTCTTTCCAAAATAACTTATCAAAATAACTGATTTACTTATTTAACATATTTATCAAAGTTTTCAAATATCTGATATATTAATTATGAAACCGGGGATAAAAAAGTAAATAATTAGGTTTTATACTTAATCAAAATAAATTATTGATATTATTTTAGGAGTTTTATCTGGCGATGGCTACTGTAAACCTTACGATGAAGAAGGTGCTGGTTACATGCGTAGTGATGCGGCTATAGTAGTATATCTGCAAAAAGCAAAGGATGCAAGAAGAATTTATGCGACTTTTGTTTATGGTAAAACCAACTGCGATGGTTTTAAAGAAGAAGGAATTACCTTTCCATCATTAGATAAACAAAAAATATTATTGGAAGAATTTTATAAAGAATGTAACGTTTCGCCTCTTGAGCTATCTTACCTAGAAGCTCATGCAACTGGCACCATAGCCGGCGATTCCATGGAGCTTCAAGCAATCGACAAAGCTTTATGTATCAAAAGAGATTTTCCTCTATTGATAGGTACAGTAAAATCGAATATTGGACATTCTGAAGCCGCTAGTGGTCATTGTCAAATTGCAAAGGTAAGATTTACAACAAAGGTTTACAAAATACAATTAATATATATATATCTGTGTAATCTAATTCTATATATATATATATATATATATATATATATATATATATACAGGGTGTACCACCTAGAAGTGGCCACCCCCTTTTATCTTTTAAACTAAAAGAAATAGACCATAACAAATATATATGAAATTAAATGGTTTTAACTGATCTTCATTGTGAGCATAGTGGTTGATTACAAAATTTATCTGTATTAAAGATCGGAGAGATATGTATAATTTTTTTATAATAATGTAGATATTTTGATATAATAAAAGTTGTAGCGCTGTTTGAAACGAATATAACGATGCTTAATTTAATGTAAATATTTTACATATTATACGAGATTTTTCCGGCTTGAAATATCGCGGACGACGTCCACCATTTCATTTTCGGCCCTGCGATATAGCCAACTTCTGACTGAGTATCATGATTAAATGACAACATGACATATGTCAACCTCTAATGCACGAGTCGCAGGGCCGAAAATGAAATGGTGGACGTCGCCCGTGATATTTCAAGCCGGAAAATCTCGTATAATATGTAAAATATTTACATTAAATCATACATCGTTATATTCGTTTCAACCAGCGCTACAACTTTTATTATATCAAAATATCTACATTATTATAAAAAAATTATACATATCTCTCCGTTCTTTAATACAGATAAATTTTGTAATCAACCACTATGCTCATAATAAAGTTTAGTTAAAGCCACTTAATTTCATATATATTTGTTACGGTCTATCTCTTTTAGTTTAAAAGATAAAAGGGGGTGGCCACTTCTAGGTGGTACACCCTGTATATATATATATACACATAAAAGATTATATATATATATATATATATATATATATATATATAATCTTTTATGTATTTTTTTATTTATCTGTCATTTTTGATTATTTATTGATTATTTATTATAATTATAGAACTAAGATATTATTATCTATGTGTATTATAACAAATATATTTCTCTTGTAAAGGTTTTAATAGCAATGGAAACTAGTATAATCCCTCCTACTATACATTTTAAACATCCACGAAAGGATATGACTGCTATCATTGAAGGAAGAGTAAAAATAGTCACTGAACCAACAGAATGGAAGGGTGGCTACGTCCGGTATTAATTCCTTCGGATTTGGTGGTGCTAATTGCCATTTATTACTGAAGTCAAATCCGAAAACAAAAGTTAATGAAACAAATAATAATTTACCTAAGCTTGTAGTTATATCTGGACGTACCGAAGAAGCAATTAAAATCATGTTAGATGACGTAAGTATATATTACTACTAAATAATGTAACGTAAAGAATAAAGAATATATTAATACGAAAAGAAGATAAAAATTATTTAAAAGATTATTTATATTAATAACTTTAAAAATCATTGTTACAATTTATAAATTATATTTAATTAAAGTATATTAATCATATTAAATTATTAATGTTAATAATAAGATCTAAATATAAAAGTTAAACAGATAGATTCAAATTGGTTTTAGTCTATAAATATGTAATAAAAACGTAATAAAATAATAAATATGTAATAAATACGTAATAAACAAAAGAAAGAGTAAAATATTATATATAAACAGGTATAAGACATATTAAAACCGATTGTTCTCGAAACGCATATTTAATATGTTAATATAAAACGTACTTGGATAAAGTGATTAAATAATATCCAACGTGGCAGCGACATAAATTATAGAATATTTTAAAGGCACTCAGATTTTTCAAACTCAAATATATAAAACGTTTGCTTAACTAAGTTTCTAATTAGAATTAACTTTAAAAAAAATAATCTATTAAAATGTTAAAAGATAATTATACTTATAATTATACTTAACATAATTATACTTATAATTATGCAATTATAACTAATATATCTTTATAGATACAAAGTCGATCAATAGATGTAGAATATATATCTGTCCTGCATCGTATTTATAGTAGCAATATAGAAAATCATCCCTACAGAGGATACATAATTGCTGGATCTAAAGCAACTAATAATGCAATAAAGAGATGTAACTTATATAAGAAAAGACCGATTTGCTTCATATTTTCTGGAATTGGATCTCAGTGTTTTAACATGGGTAAATAAATCAAATATATTACAATTATTATTAAGATGTTTATGTGCAATTAATGCTTAACGATTTTTAAATTATTTTTAAATTTACAAACAGAAGACACTATTATTGTTAATTTTATTATATGTATATAAAATATATATATATATATATATATATATATATATATATATATACAGGGTGGACCAAAAAGTCTGGACACAGTCGAATATCTCGTATAGAATGCATTTTAGAACAAAATGATTTAGACAAAAGTTGTAAGGATTAAAAAGATGTATTTAACTGTAACATCCATTTGACATTGAGTAACGTCGCCAAGCTTAGGGCAAGGTCAACTTGAATTTTTTAAATGGAACCTCCTATTTTTTATTGCATATTTTTGTAGCTTACCTCGAGAGCTTTCCAAAACACTATAATAAAGTATTTCTTCATTAAATACTTTTCAAGTTACGAGGCTTGAAGTAATTTTTTAATTTTACACAAACCATAAAATATCTAGTAAAAAATTCATTTTTGGATTATTTTACCTTAATACTTTTATGTACAACATAATGAGAGGAATCAATTGGTGTAAAGAAAACATACAGTTGTTTCGAAGAAAAAATATGTAATTTACAATTAACAATTCCATATTTTTCTATATGTTTGTATATATATATATATAATATATATATATATATATATATATATATATATATATACATACACTGTGGCCCATTTTAATCGACGCACCTGAATATCTCCGTTGGTAAGCCGAATACAAAAAAATTGTTCAGACAAAAGTTGTATGGTTTCAAGGGCGACATAAGATGGTGTCATTAATTTGATCTTGAAGAGCCACCTGAAGGTCACGTGAAGGTCAGCTCCAACTTTTTAAATGGGACACCCTATATGCTTTCGCATATTCTTGTAGCTCATCTGAAGAGCTTTCCAAAACACTATAATTAAGTTAGTTTTCATTAAATACTTTCCAAGTTATGAGGCTTGAAATCATTTTTTAATTTTACATAAACCATAAAATATCTTGTAAAATATTCATTTTTCGATTATTTTACCTTAATACTTTTATGTACAAAATAATGAGAAGAATCAATTGGTGTAAAGAAAACACATAATTGTTTCGAACAAAAAAATGTAATTGTTAATTGCAAATTAACTCTTCAGATGAGCTACAAGAATATGCGGAAGCATATAGGGTGTCCCATTTAAAAAGTTGGAACTGACCTTCACGTGACCTTCAGGTGGCTCTTCAAGATCAAACTAATGACACCATCTTATGTCCTCCTTGAAACCATACAACTTTTGTCTGAACAATTTTTTTGTATTCGGCTTACCAACGGAGATATTCAGGTGCGTCGATTAAAATGAGCCACGGTGTATATATTTTTTTTATATACATATAATAAATTAACAATAATAATGTCTTCTGTTTGTAAATTTAATATATATATATATATATATATATATACTTATATATATATATATATATATATATATATACATATATATATATGAAGCAGTGATTGGGGAAGGGAGGAGCGAGTGAATGTGTAGGCACGCGGCTCCTTCCCTTTCCAATCACCACTTTGCCGCGCGCACTTCTAACTGTGCACATTGGCCGATTTTCTTTAATTAATTTTTCGTTAATTATTGCAAATGTCGCAAAATAGTAGAAGACCTTCCTCCTTTACTTGAACCAATCTATCTTCACACTACGGAACTGTGAAAAGTTTTCAGACACCCTGTACACACACACACACACACACACACACACACACACACACACACAACACACACACACACACACACGGTGTTTCCGGTATCTCACCGGCAGGGCTCACTCACCAACGTAAAGCTCAAGCGCCACGCGCCGCTATCATGTTTTGGAGAGCGCTCCACCCATCGCTTCTCCGCGCGCCTAATATCATGTTACAGTGGGACAGCCTTTCTCGCCGCGCATTTTTAGTTACGCGCATTGGCCGATCTCCTTTAATTAATATTTCAAAATTTTACGTTTTTTGTAAAATAATATGAGACTTTTAAGTTCAGTTTAAGGAGATCTACACTCACCCACAAAAAAAAACCGGCCCATAAATTTTAACACAATTTTTTTACATTTTCAAATAGCGATAAATCAGCAAATAATCGTATCGAAATGAAATAAAGCTCAAATTAAAGTTCGAACATTTCTGTTAAAAACCAAGAAAATCAAATTGGAATTACAAAAAATGTTTTATAAAATGACGGACATTGAAGATTAGTCTCTGAAAAAATGGGAAATAAATTTTTTTTTAAAAACTGTTGCGTTGCTCAGGAGAATCTAACCGTTGGCTCAGGAGAATCTACACAATCTATCTTACAATCTAATACACAAATCTATGAGTTTTGAAGCTCATTTATTTCTTAACAAATCCATATTTTAAAACAATTTTCTACGACCTTTTTTAATAAAGTTATACCGTTTGAAGAAAATGTTGCAAAATAGGCCTTTTCACCGCAACGCTTTGCCAAAGGAATCGAACAATTTAAAACAGGAAGAAATTTGATTAACAGTATACTCCACAAATCGAAGAATTGATATATGCGAAAGGTAGTAATATACATTATTAAAACCACACGCACGCACGCACATACGCGCGCACACTGCACACACACACGACACGCGCACACACATGTAATCAGATCCACGTCCACGACGTTGATAATAACGTTTTGGATAATGCAAGAGTGGGCACGCATATGCATATGTACACGCATGCACTCACAACAAGATTTAAATTCAACTATATGGAGCATCTTGGGTCGAGTTATATTTTAATTTCTTTTATTGAAAAAGTTTTTTTCGATAATTATTGTTGAATTGCAGATTTTATAAGAAAGGCCCATTTTGCAACACTCTCCAAAACGGTATAACTTTATTAAAAAAATCGTAGAAAATGTTTAAAAATATGGATTTATTAAGAAATAAATGAGCTTCAAAACTCATACATTTATGTATTAGCGTGTAGATTCTCCTGAGCAACGCAACAGTTTAAAAAAAAAATTTGTTGTTTCTCATTTTTCGAAAATTATCTTCAACGTCCGCCATTTTATAAAACATTTTTTTGTAACTTTCAAATTTTTTTTTGTAACTTCAAAATTTTTTTGTACTTCAAATTTTTTTTATTATCTGATTTTAAGAGAAATTGTTGAGCTTTCATTTGAGCTTTATTTCATCTTGATACAATGATTATTTTGCTGATTTATCGCTATTTTGAAAATATGAAAAAAATGTGTTAAAATTTAGATGCCCGTTCTTTTTGCAGTGGTTGTGTATACGTTTTACATTATTGTACAAGAATACCGGAAACACCTACGTATATATTAGGTTTATCCAAAAGTTTTAGTTCTTTTTTAAAATACTTTTATTTGTATAATTATAAATATACAGTGGCCTATAAGATCAATCTAGGAAATATTTTCCCTCATTTTCTATAACTTTCTGCTTTATCGGGCAATTTTCGGATTCTTTCGCGAAAAAAAGTATCGGTTTAAACAGCAATGAATTGATCGAGCCCATTGATTTTGCACTTTTGCATACATCTTCGAGAAGCGCTGTTCCGCTAAGGAGTGCTCACGTTGATCAGAATAGGTGATAATCCGAAGGCGCCAAATCAGGAGAATAGAGGAAGAACTTCCCAGCCTAACAGGGCGAGTGCACAACGTGCCCTTCACCGATTCAACGGGGATTTTTTTATGTGTAGTACCAATTAGAAACAAATTCTGTTAAAGTGAGAGAACNAAATCCGTAATGCTCCGTACAACGATCGGCAGATAAATGATCTGTGCCGGCGTTTCCGATATCTTATATCCTGGCGGTACGCTCGGTGAAAATTCATGTATCGTGTGTACGCGCATGCCGTTGCTGTACGCACCAGTAGTCACGTTGCATTCTATACGAATAATATTTACGTTTATAATATTAACAGGTTCGTCCGATTCATACCACTTGCGAGTTGAATATACGATTCGACGAGAATCCAAGCAAGGATCTACATTGTCGGGTTTGGTAAAGTTTATTCTGTAGGCGCATTTGATTTCACTCTTTAGCGTACTGTGATTGGCGCGGAGCACTATTGGATATTCCTCATCATAATCGTTTTCAACATCTCTGGAAAGGTGTTCATCTCGCAAAATTGCGCGTTTGAGATAATCATTTATGGCGTGCAATTCGTACGATCCTTCGGGAATCGTAATTTCCTTGTCGTCGTTGCCAAAATAAAATTTATTATTCGAAAAATTTACGTTCGGAATCGTGTGATAAGTTTCAAAATCCGTTAATCCGAGCTCGTAATCGGCATCGGTCAAATCTATAGCGGGGAAATAGCTTACAGCGAGAACGCTGCTTCTGCCAGTCAACGTAAGTGTCAGTGACATGTCGAACGAATACTGAGTCATGACGATGGATTGTCAGGCTTTAAATTGATCGTTTGAAGAAATTTTACACAACTGTCCACAGATACTCTGATTATAACTTTGATAAGATGTGTAATTGTATTCAATTTTCACTCGTCCGAAATATCGTACAAGTTCCTTGGGCGGTCGAAGATTTCCAAAACTGTCGAAATATACGACACGATCGTCCCTCTTTGCGTACGCTACCCAATGAGTACCGGGACCATCAACGTCATCCAAATTGACGATACCGCTCTCGTTTCGTCGTACACCGCTTATCGGTAAATTATTGCGCATGAAAACACCTCTAAAGAAAGGTATACACATACGTTTCGCAAATTGTTCCAATTGCACGTTAGTTGTCGCACCCGTAGGCATTTTTAATGTTTTTCGACGTTTTTTTTTCTCTTAGACTTTGTTGAGAATCCCTGTCCACGCTTGTACGGAGCGAGATAAAGTCCGCGACCTTCCATAGCGCGATTGTGACGCTGCATCTCTTCCAGCTGACGTTGCGCAGCCTTGCTATCGTTTACCGCCTTTGCGATTCCCGCCGCACCGCCGGCCAATGAACCGACAACTCCCAACAACGGTAAAAGTGGTAAAATACCACCACGTTTCGCTACTGGAAGTATTCGTTTCTTCCTCCTCTTTGTCGTCGATGGCTTTTTCATCCCCATGCCGAGTTTTGTCTTTGCCTTCATTGCCGCCCAAACAGTCGTAGCGGCTGCTCTTTCACCGAGAGTCGAATCCCGCGGTAATGCGTTCTCGCGCTCTTGCAGCTAGTATGCGATCAGCGATGTGACGTTGGTCGAGGTCATTGCTTCGCGCGTAAGCAATGTCGTGTTCACGACACGCCGCGTCCAATGGATTTGATGCTCGATCACCTCTAGCCAATCGTTTCTCTAATCGAGTTCCCGGCCCGCAAAACTGATAACCGGGAATATGTAATTCGATGGGAAGCGCGTTTATTGCACGATTTAAGAGACCGCTACCTCTTACAATTCTCGCTGACATTCGTAGCAATCTTTTATCAACGGTGGTGGACCGTCAATGTGCGTTCGCTGCCATGGCTGGTTTGTAATGTCGCATGCACGAACGATATTGTCGAACCTCCGGATCAGCCTTTATATATTCTGGAAGCTTGTCCCACATCGTTCCACGTAATCACCAAAATTTTGAAGTAATAAAATCTTTGGGATATACTGCAGTTGTTTGGTGGTAAGCCCGAGAATGTCTCTCTCATCCGACAGAAGGAGAAACATTTTTGATACTGACCGGTTTCGAGTCGAGACACTTCTATAAATAGGTCTCCCCCTCGCGATCATTCGCAAAATTGATCGAAAGAGAAAACATGCGGTTCGTGCGACAAGCGCGGGTAATCAAAGTATCAAATTTCGATGATAAACTAATATCGGAGAAAAAAGTATGCAAGCATGGAAACATGCTGCTGACTACTATACACGGTATCGTTTGCGGCCCTTCAAATTGTGGTAAGACAAACGTGTTGATTAGTTTGATAGAAAGTCCGCACGGTGTACGTTCGAGAACGTGTATGTATACTCGAAATCGCTTCAACAGCCGAAATACAAATACTTGGAAAATTTACTAGCACCTATAGATGAAATCGGCTACTTTACATTCTCTAATAACAGCGATGTCATTCCATCGAGCGAGGCGCTTCCGAATTCCATCTTTATCTTTTGATGACGTGGCATGCGACAAGCAGGATACGATAAGAGAGTACTTTGCAATGGGTCGACACTCGAGCGTTGACTGTTTCTATCTTTGTCAGACATATGCCAAGATACCTAAGCATCTTATACGCGACAACGCGAACCTGCTGATCCTGTTTAAATAAGACGGCACAAACTTGAAACATGTGTACAACGATCACGTGAATACCGATATGTCTTTATGACGATTTCCGTGCATTGTGTCAGAAATGTTGGCAACGTAAATATGGCTTCGTAGTCATTGATAAAGATAGTACGTTGATCAATGGACAATATAGAAGGGGATTTAATGATTTCGCGATACCGTAAAGCGATCAGTCATCATCGACACATCGATCGAGCATCATGAACGACGATCGTGAAAAGATTACGACAGAGATTGCAAAAACGAGCGAATCAATTCGCAAAAAATATCGCGCTTTGAAAACTGGTAAAATGGAGGAAGATATCATATTGGAAAGGCAATTTAAACCGATTACCGAGCCTTTAAACAGCTTGTCGAAAATACTGTGGAATCTGATGCGTCGAAAATCGAACCGTTGAGTTTGACGTTTGGAGAGAAGCATGAGGAAAAAATAAAAGAGTCCAAGCAAGGAATAAAGCGAGCACGGATAAATATGCCGATAAACGATTCACCGATATATTCCGAATATACACCGATCAAAGCGAAGGAAGCAATTTTCTAATATGGCTACTGTTTCTACTCCGATAAAAGTACAACCGCGTCAAACAATACCATCCACGTCCGTCGAAGAAATTTACGAGACCACACCCGATTCGTTTGTAACATCGGTCCGACACGAATTAGAAACGTCCGAAGGTCAGAAAACGTTTCGAGAGCATTTAGGTCCACTGGCGCAAAAATATATAGGAGATATTATGAGTGTTGATAAAAATAAGAGTATGGATTACGTCTACGGTGTTAAATTTACCAATGAAGGAATGACGCTAGGTGATAAATGTTTCGATGTGGACAAGGAAGATAATTAATTATCGATGGAATAAAATATAAGGGAACCGAAGGAATCTACGATTTGATTTTTAAAAAATTTCCCAATCATAAAAAATATACTCGAGACGATTTGCATAAATATCAAAGTATATTAAATATAACAAATGCGCATAAACGTGACAACAAAGTTAATAATCCTATTAAAACTAATAAAGGGTACAAGTATAAATATATAATTGCACCATTATTCCCCGATAGAAAGATGGGAAGAGGTATAGACGCGCCGCGCACCATGACGCTCAGCGACAACATGATCGATTACGTGCATTGGAACGATCCCAACGAATTGGTGGATCGTTTGCGATTGCTGGACGCCTCGCGTCGAGCCGGCAACAATGCTCACGACAATGAAATCTTGTCAATTATCGAAGAACTTCGCGAGGCCGGCATTATTATAAATTAAACTATGCGTCGGCGATACGTGTCATTCGGTCAATGTTCTCGGTACCGAAATGTCGATTAATAAATTCGGATTATCATTGGGAACGTCGAACAATTTGTACTACGAATGGGAATGGATTATTGAGAAATTACGTTCGCGATAACGCTCTCTGCCAAACTACTACCGGCTTTGACGCAAAGTCGCGCAAAATTCAACGCGTAGCGCAACCGGAAGCTGATACCGACATCGTCAACAAACGATACGTGGATAAACTTTTGAGAGATCGACAGGGAGAAATTGAGCAAAAATTATCGCGCTCGAAACAAACGTGCAGGCGCTGCGATTAATGATGGATGAGATAAAGAATGTGTTGAGATATGCAACATCTGACTCGACACAGTAAGCGAGATATACTAATATCGCCTATATTAATTATACCTCGATCAAACGTGCGAAAGAACAAAAGCACCTCCGAAAAGCGGCAACTAGTCGAGGAATTACATGCTCCGTCGAGAAGAAATTTTCCACGAAGACGCGTCATTGTACGCGGATACGATGATCTGTGGCAGGCGGACGTGGTGGACATGCGTTCGTACTCTCGACTCAACAAGGGTCATAAATACATACTCACGGTTATCGATGTGTTGAGCAAGTATGCGTGGGCCGTACCGCTCAAGAGTAAGAGCGGGAACGAAATGTCCGAAACGATCGCAAAGATTATTGGAGACGATAAAAGATGTCCGAAAAATTTTCAAACTGACAGGGGAAAAGAATTTTACTCGAGTGTGCAGAAACTCATGAAGAAACACAACATTAATCATTACTCAACATATTCCGTTATGAAAGCCTCAGTCGTGGAACGATTCAATCGTACTTTAAAAAACAATATGTGGAAAATGTTTACGTTGAATGGAAATTATAAATGGATCGACGAACTATCTCGACTCGTTGCAGAGTACAATACGCGAAAACATCGCACCGTCGGTATGAGACCTGTCGACGTCACTCCGACGATCGCCGAAAAACTTTTAAATACGGTGTATAGCAACGTAAAAATTGTGGCTCCTGCAAAATTTAAAGTAGGCGATTCGGTACGCGTGAGCAAA